TACAACATGGTTAACCCAAATATAAATAAAATAATGTAATTTTTTTTAGCGTGGCGTTTTTGCAAACATTTTGAAAATGTGGCATTTTTGTAAAGTGGCATTTTTTTAAATTCTCAAAAAAATTTGATATGTTTTATGAAAAAAAACTTCCAAAATTATAACAACAAATATAATTATTCTTTAGATTTTTTTTTTCATACAAGCCAATTTGAAAGTAACAAAAATATTTATTAATTTGAATGTAACAAAAAACATTTTTAATTCGTGTTTCATATATAAAATTTATTTTTATATATTTTAATGTTTTAAAATATTAAATAATTTATTTGTATTCTAAATTCTACTTAAGATATTCGGACAAGCTAAATTTAACATAATTTATACTTTTAATACACCATTTCTAATTTTATTTAAGATATTCGGACAAGCTAAATTTAACATAATTTATACTTATGATACAATTCAAATAAATATGAGTTGTACATATTTATTTAATAAATAAGTATTTTTTAAGCTATTAGTCTAGATCATTTCTATTTCTATAGTAAAATTCATCTTTTATATATAAAGTTATAAGAAAATAACAAAATATCAATATCAATATCTTTACAATTTAAGTAAACTTAAAAACATCAAATCTAAGTGTACAAATTCGCAATTGAAAATAACGAAATATCAATATCAATATCTTTACAATATCTACGGGTTTAACCAAATGGATATTGAACAAAATTGATCACAATATGTCGTGTATTTTTTTGTCAAATTTTCTAGCTTAAAAGGAATTTACACACAGTAATAGTATTTGGTGTAATGTGTTAACGACAAAGTCGACACTCCAACATCAATAGAAATGGAGAAACTTTTAGAAACGATAAAATCTTGCTTGGTTATTACGATATAAAATTGGATTCAGTGACCAATTCAATTGTTTTTCTGTTAATTAAATTGTAAATGAAGTTATTATCTGTGTTATTAATGAAAATAAAATTATTGTCCATAAACGGAAAATAATAAAAGATATTATTTTATATAATGAAAATTGAACTTAAATTCAAATTGAACATCATTACTAATTTTTAACTAAATAATATTTTTTAATCTATTTGATTTTTAAAAAATATTTAACCGCGTGTAACGCGGGAGTCACCTAGTATGGATAAATGTTAAAGTGATAATTTGTTGTTACTAAACATAACATAGCTTACCAGCTATATAAATTGGGATTATATGCTTGATTCATCAATTACACTAATGCCAATAAAAGTGAACGTTTTTTGTCAAGTTGTCAAAATTAAGTGTGACTGTTTTTTGTCAAGTTTTCATGGTCTTTTTATATAATCTGACTTTGGACTCGGGACTCGGAGAGCAATTTCGAACCACCAAGGAAGATTCAAGAAACCAGACTGATTCTGGACAAAACCAACACTTCTTGTCTTTAAGGGTTTAGTTCGACGGACGCCGGGAATCGGACCACCAGAGATTTCACAGAACACAAGGTACTAAAATGAAATCGGTTATACGATTCTGCAGTATTTTGGTTTGGTAAACCGAATCGAATTGAACCGGTTGTCTCTGGTGGTCCAGTTTTTTTTTTTTTTATCCAGGCGTGAAACGACGACGAGTGGTTCTTAAAATGTTTGTCTCAGAAAAATCTAAACGAAGAGTGTTTGAATTTGCGATTCGAATTCAGGTGAGATCAAAGGAGAAGGGATCGAAACATGCGGGAAATTTGAAGTAGTAATCCATTAATGGTAAAGCTTACATGTCTTGTTCTTTGTTTTGTTTCTTGAGTTTATCACACATTGTTCTTCCGAACCTGGAAATGGTTTCTTGGTTACTACTTATTGGATTGTTTTGGACACTGAGATAGTGTTGAATACCTCTTGGTTTTTGGGAGTTGATTTTCTTTTGTTAGTTTTGTGGGTATTGAAGATCATTTAGTGGGTCAATGTTTTCTAATATCTTATGTTTCATTTTCTTTCCTCCGTAATTGATGATCTTCTGCTTGACTGGTCTCGGCATTGGTCTCCTGACAAATCTTCTGCTTGCTGCTCCTTATAACAGTATAGA